GCACCAAGCAAAAGCAGGTTGACTGTTTTCTGGAAAGTTCTCTGGGAGCTCCCCATTTAACTCAGCCATGCAGAGCAGATGACGCGGCACCCCTTTCAGGGGCCACCTGGTTGTTCTCAGGCTCTTACACCAGAGGAAGACAAAGGCCTTGGCATAGCTGGGGTGTCTGCTGTGCCGGTGGGTAGGTGTCTGCAGAGAACAGGTTTCCTTGAATGTCACCACGCTTCACAGCATGTTAACATGTGACAGTAATGCATCAGTAACATTTTTTGGCTCATCAGTCTGGATAGAGAAGCGGCTGTTTGCCAGATTATTACATAAAATCTTTGCGCAACACTTGCTGTGCCTTCCACGTGCTGACTCATCATATGTGGCGCGTGGTCTTTCCCATGCCCCTTCCTGCTCCTGGTTCAGGCCTTGTTCCTTCCACACCGTGGCATCCCTAGGTCCTCACCGACCCTGTATTGTTCCTGCTCTGGGCAAACCTTCTGCTACTAATTAACCTGATTCCTCTGTCTCTTCTCTTGAGGTCACTTTGTGAACCTGAGTTTCCACCTCAGTTTACTGTGAGAGTCAATGGCTGTTAAAAGTCATCCTCTCCTTCATCTGTGTAATAGCCATGATTGGCAGTGAAGGGCTTCTTCTTACAGAGCACCTGCTGAGTGCTAGTGGCTGGGTGGTGGAGATTCAGTACTTGAAATTCCATCTGCAGGATACACAGTTCCCTCAACTTCTAAATGCATCGATAGATCCTGCCCACACACACATCGGTGGGTAGGGCCATCATCGGCTGCTATCTCCCCTCTATCAACTCAGTGCTCAAAAGTCATAACGCCCTTCCCCTTGATGGTGAAAACATCAAATGGATTCATCACTTGAGCAAGGTCCTACTGCATGCAATGAACCTCGTCCAACAGTGCACCAGAAACTTGAGTTTTCTTGTGGAACTTTTGTTGGGTTCCAAGGAATACTGCTTGAAAAATGTTGGATCAGAGAGAAATAGCAACCAAATATCAGCATGGGAAACTTAAGGGTCCTGGTTGGTAAGGAAATTAAACAACTGTAAGAAACATTCTTGTGCAACTGGGAAACATGACTACGGTCTGCATAGGAGAGAGCTGTTAGTATTCTCACTTGTGATAATGAGAGAGACAGAGACCCCAGTACGGCAGTGTCCACAGTTGTCGCATCCTGAAAGAGTATATATATGTGCTGATGACAGTAATCTGTGAACTTTAGTGTATACACATGATTTCACGATTAAACCAGTTGTACTTTTTTTTTTTAAAGGTGGTATGGACCCAAAGAGTGAGCAGCAGCAAGATTTGTTGTGAAGAGTGAAATCACAAAGCTTCCACAACGTGGAAGGGGACCCAAGCGGGTCGCCCTAAACTGGTTGTACTTTTAAAGAAGGAAATAAAGACTGAGACATTCAAGTCAGAAAAGAAATCCCAATAAGCCTGGCCCTAGAGACTGGAATCAGACATCTCTCCTGGGAAAGGGCACCACCCTCACCCGGGATCCTCCCTTCACAGCTGCAGTCCTGGGTCATGGAGCAGAGGTGCAGTTCCCGGGCTTGGCATCCAGGGTTTCTTAGTGAGCTCCTCAGAAAGCAGCCCAGAGCCCAAAGATAAAATCCACACCAACAGGGTGCTGGGGGCACATCCAGTCAGGCCTGACCTACCTGAGGAAGGTGATGGGACTTTGGGGACCCTAGGAGGTCAGTGTGCCCCAAACACCATCCCCAGGTGGGACCAAAGGTAGTGTCTGTTCTTCCTCTTCAGTTTCAGCACAGAAAGGACCCTGGGACCAAAAGGGGCTGGGTCTCCAGTCCTCCTCAGGCCTCAGGCACCCTATCAGAATGTGGGGGTCAACTCCTCTGGAAACCAGAGGGGACACAGCCCCTGGGGCTTCCGCTGAACTGGTTTTACCCAAGGAAAAGAGAAATTCCACAAGACTGTGCCCTCTGTGACAGCTCTCTCCTCCCCTGCATGACGTATGATTACATCTGGGGCCATGTGCTGTTGTGTGGATTTCTAAACTGTTGATGTACACCACAAACCCAACAAAGGTCCCTGCAGCTCTGACCAGCTTCCCCCTGTCCACTTCTCATTGGACACAGGCAGGCCCTGAGGGGATACAGAAGCCACTCAGAATCACCAGCCCTGCAGGGGTCAGGTTAGGACCAGAGAGGACACCTGACCCTGAGGCCTGACCTACAGCTGCTCAGAGGGCAGGTGAGAATGAGAGCCAGGCCAAGCTGGGACAGTTCTGTTGCAATTCCTTATCTGTCTGTGTTACTATGAGTCCCTGCCAGCTGCTCCCACTGCTATTATCTGCAGCGCAGCAATAGCCTCATTGAGGGTCTGGGCCCCGCTAATGGTCAGGGTGGCCATGTTCCTTGATTTGGAGCCTAAGAATTGGGCAAAGGTCCCTGAGGGTCACTTGTAGTTATACTAGATGACCAGCACGAGGCCTGACATGGCATCTGCTGGTTCCTAAAGGCACATTTATCCTGAGGTTATCTCCAGTGCATGTGATCATTGGTTGTCAGTCTCAGGGCCACCAACACTGAGACCAGCTGTCTCTGCATGTAGGAAGCACAGGGCTGAGAGAAGAGGAGAGGAGAGGAGGGGAGGCAAGGGGAGGGGCAGGGAGGGGAGGGAAGAGGAGAGGAGAGGAGAAGAGAAGAGAAGAGAAGGAGAGGAGAGAAGAGAAGAAAAGAGAAGAGAAGAGGACTTGAGGATGAAAGGTCCATTTACAGAAGATCCCAACCCAGAGCTGCAGTCAGGGTTTGGGCAGGCCAGTTGCAGTGTAATATATTGAGTGGTTTAATGGAGGGTCTTCCACCCTTTGTAAAATGTCTTTTAAAATATTTTCACATTACTGCCTCATAAATTTTTCACAATTGAAATAATTAATGTTTCCTATCTCAATATAAAAATACATTTTTCTTAGTGTTGCTGAAACTTTAACTGGGTAGCAAGATGTGGTTGAGGGGATCCCAGGGTAGGTGGGGGCCAAGGACTGGCATTTTATGGTCAGTGACACGGTGGTTTGGTTGCCATAACGCATAGCTGAGCCAAAAAGGAATCAGAATAATCACACAAGATCATGGGTGTGGTCTAGGTGGTCCTAGTGTCCCAGACTGGAAGCAGGTGAGCAGCCCTCCTCTACTTATTTTTTTGAATGAACAGAAAGCTCCATTTGAGAAAGACTGTGAGGGCTCCTGAGCCTCGGCAGGGGTTCTGTGTGATTGTGGCCACACAGCTCACTATAGGGCCCGAGTTGCTGATACGCTAGGTTTGTTCTGAACCATACTCCTGGGTGACCATTTCCAGCAGCTCCCCAATCACATGGCAGGGATGTATTTGTAACTTGAGGGACTAGGTTATGAGGCCCAAGTAAGTTGCATGAAGAGTTGGCCAAATAGTCATGACCCGAGCCCTGGGCCATGCCATCCTCTCACCTTACAGCCTTGGCCTCCTGAGGGGCTCCCTGAGATCAGCTGCCTAGGAGGAGGCACTTAGGCTGGGGTTACAGAGGTTTCTGCAGGACATGCAGCCACCACTGGTGTGGACAGTGCTAGTACTCCACCTGGCCTCTGAGAATCCCTGAACAGCAGTGGTGTAAAAACATTCTCCTTAAAGCAGAATTTTAAGCAGTGAAAATGGTTCATGTCACCTGCAAAGAGATGGGCAGAGGTTCCTAATTCATGGGCTGTGAAGGGTCCTGGAAGATGGTCAAGTATATTCAGGGGCTTGGGAGAGACACAATAAGAATGTTGATCACAAAGATGTCTGGATAGAGATGTGTCGGTAGACCTCCTCCGGTGGGCAGAAAGCATGAGAATTTTTTTCTATATGCAAATACTCACCAAGTCTGATGTGAAAAGGAAGTGATTTTGTTAATCAGGTAGTAGGGTAACCTGTTCTATGGACACCAGGCAGCGTCCCTCAACCACTCCTGTCATTGTCCAATGGGATCCATAAAAAAGTGCCCATGGTGGCAGGGATAGAGACTGACAATGGACTCACCAATGTTAATTTCCACTAACTGGAGCTGGCCTGGCTGAAGCAACTGCAGAGTGACCATCTGTCAACAGCGGAGACCAACACGGAGATTCCTACAGGATAACTTTCTCTGTGGAAAACAGTCAGGGGCCTGCTTGATATTAATTTCATTAGAGCTCTTCCATCATGGCAGAGATAGCTCTTTTTCTTACTGGAATTGACATTTACTCTACACAGGATTTGCTTTCATTGACAGAAGTGCTTCTGCCAAAACTGTTATCTCTGGATTACAGAACGACACACCCATCATGATGGTATTCCACAGGAGGTTCTGACCAAGGAACTCATTTCACAGCAAACAAAGGACTATGGGCATTTTCTCATGGCATTCAAGAGTCTTACTATTGTCCCCAACATTCTGAGGCATGTGGCATATATGAATGGTTTAATGACAACTTGAAGACTCCATACTGAACCAGGCAAGTGGCAAGTATGTGTAGGGTTGGACAATGTCTTCCAGAATGGGGCGTGTGCTGTGCGTCAGTGTCCAATATATGGTGCTGTTTCTGCCACAGTCAGGATCCATGTATCCAGAATCAAGGAGTAAATTGTAGTGGCTCCACTCAAAAATGTCTTTAGTGATCCATTAGCAAAAATGTAACATCCTCTCCTCCTGACCTCAGGCTCTGTGGGTCTAGAGGTCTTAAGTGCACTGGGGAAATGCATTCCCAGGGGATATAACAATGACTGCATTGAACTGAGACCTGAGAGTTCCCCACGTCCCTCTGGATATGCCTGCATGGATGTCTCCCTGGGTCTGTCTTTCCATTCAGACCCTCCATCAACAACTCAAACCCCAGGCAAAGAAACACAGGACAGCCTGATCCTGCAAGGTGCAAATCCACTCCTGACTGACTCCTCTGCAGAGCCTGCCTGGAGGGCTGGAGGGAACGGCAGCCTGGGGGTCTCAGATTGGGTTGAATTGGGCCAATCCTGCTCATGGCTTTGTCCACAGTCTTTGTCCCTCTTCTATTTCACAGAAGAGGATGAAATAGAGAGGGAGGGGTTTATGTCTCACTTCCCCATATGCTTCTGTCACTGTGGGATGATTACCACTGCTGTCTGCTGATTGACAGTAATAGTCAGCCTCGTCTTCTGCCTGGGCCCCACTGATGGTCAAGGTGACTGTTGTCCCTGAACTGGAGCTAGAGAATCGCTCAGGGATGCCTGAGGGCCTCTCGCTGTCTTTATATATCACCAGCACAGGGGCCTGGCCTGGCTTCTGCTGGAACCACTGAGCATATTTTTTTGCCAGTGTACCTCCAGAGCAGGTGATCCTGGCTGGCTGTCCTGGGGACACTGACACTGAGGGTGGCTGTGTCAGCTCATAGGAGGCCTCAGAGCCTGCAAGGAAGAACAGGAGAGGGGGCTTGAAGATGAAGGACCCATTCCCAGGAGTCCCACCCAGAGGCTGTATCTGGGCTTTGCTCAGGATTCAGGGTAGGCTCAACTTGGGATCTGTGGGGACTGAGCCTGGGGCAGGGCCAGGGGTCAGCACCTGTGCAGAGAGTGAGAAAGGGGAGCAGAACAGTGGTCCAGGTCATGGTGAGACACCCAGAGCTCTTCCTCCTAGAACCACAGCACAGCTGGGCTCCCCAGGCCGCTCTTATTCCCTCTCAGGCTTTTGGGGCAGTCAGTGTTTAGTGTTTATGCAAATTTACGTCCTCTGAGACTCTTCCTGGAGAGAGATCACTCAAACCAGCTGCAGGGGCAGCACAGGCAACAGGAGGAAGAAGCAGGGTCTCAGATTAGAAAATCAGCTGCAGCCTTCAAGGTCTGTGATCACAGTCACCTTTCTGGGAATTGATCTCATGACCACTGTCCCAAACCTCGCTGACCTGGGGTCTGTCCTGGACCAGGTTCAGCAGAGCTGTGGACCTTCCAGGAGGTTGGCCATGGGGCTGAGCTGGGCTCTGCTGAGAGATCATGATGACACCTGACTCAGCAGCACGTGGACCAGGGACCCATCATCTTCCTCCTGCTGGTCCCTCAGACTCAGTCCCCTCTTGTTCATTCCACCTAAATGCTGCGCTGTGTCATCAGGACACTTGCTAATTACTTCAGGAGGAATAGTTGGGTCATTTAAGCAACAACACACCCCTGTGGAGTCAACAGGGCCTCTGGTCTCATTTCAGCCATGGTGCTGCTCCTTCTACATCACCCCTCATTGCCACAAGAGATTTAGCATTGACACCCTCAGCTCAGCCAGAATTTATATATGTTTTTCTCATCAATGTTTTATGAAAACTTGCAAAAAGCAGCAGAAAACCACACTGGACTGACAATCTAACTTTAGGCCCCATGGTCTCTGCACAGCACGTGAGCTCCAGAGGGTGGGTGGTCCCTGGTTTCTCCAGCCAGGCTCCTGGTCATTGTCCCATCACTGAACATGGACAGCACCAGGGTCAAGGCTGTGGCCTGAAGCAGGGGAGGAGCCCTGTCCCCCTGGAAAGCATCTCCTGAAGGATGCTCCTGAGGATGCTCCATGCAGGGATCAGGGCCCCAGAATGCTTCATCCCACCCACCTGTGACTCCCCTGAGCACAGGAGCTGCCCCCTGAATCAGAGTCTACCTGGAGCTGGAAGGAGAGGCAGAGGGAGGAGGGGGCCGGTATATCTGGAAGTGCCCAGGACAGAGGGCACAGCTCCCCAGGACACTGCTGGACAGGGCAGAACAAGGCCCTGAGAGTTACAGGAGGCTCAGGCAGCCATCCTGGGTGAAGGACTCGGGCCCTGGGAGCCCCATGCTCTCACACTGTGTCCCCTCCTAGAGCACCTCGACCTCGGGACATCTCCCAGAGAATCCTCTTCCTGAAGAAGCTGCCCAAACTGACACCTGGGCTCAGCCTCTTCTAGCTGCATTTCCCAGGTGAGGCCTTCACGGTGCTAGGCTTCTGTTGGTGTCCTTGGGTGATACTGTATGAGTCTGACCCTCAGAACGTGGTCACTATAACCTGAGGGGATAGGATGAACTGTCTTCACTTTCAGTCTGAACACCGACTCTTGGACACCTGTTGAACCCCAGGCTGGCCTTCCTCTTTGCCCCAGCTGGACAGCCCCAGCCTCTCTCCTGACTGCTCCTGGCTACAGCTCTGCTGCCCCCAGCTGGTGGAGGAGACTCAGCCCAGGAGATTTCTTCTTCCAGGTGACCCCACAGCACCTGTCGCCTCAGAAGTTGAGGATGAGAGAGTTCAGTCCCATTCTGTGCCAGTGTGACCCAATCTGCCCTGTCCAGCCCAGTACAGAAAGGTCACACCTGCAGTGCAGGGAGGTGGGGCAGGTGCAATTGCTATAAAAGTGTCTCAGGGTTGAAATGCCCTCCTCTAGTGTTTTAAATTCAGTCAGGACTAGTGGAGTATGATGAGTTAACAGAAGCTCTTCTGCAAAGGTTTCAATGTTTAGAGAGATGCGTGTGCCATCCTACAGGGACCCAGGCTTTCTATGCATAGGAAGCAAACTGGTGCACCTCCCACCCAATGGAAACAGCTATGATTCATTGCCATCGCTGCATGTTTCTTACTGCAACTTTGTTGTGAGCTAACATCACCATCATGAAACTGTCCTTCATGTTGCTAGTTATTTCATTACACACTTCTCAGAGCTTGTGCCGGGAGGATTTCTACACTAGTCTAGTCTGTTTTCCTGATGAAACTGGGACTCTCCTGCTTATTCTCAGCTGGGGCTGCTGTTCCCACTATACAAGCAAGATCTTTTGAGCTCGTTTCTTGGAATCCCTGCAGAGGAAGACAAAGAAGTTCCATGTCTGAAACCCACTGAAGCCCATTGAATGACATCCCCTCATCAGGCTTTAATTAATATGACTGTTGCTCTTCTATCTTTTTAATTTTGAATGAAGAAAAGCCTTCAGTTCAGTATAAGCCTCCTCACTTTGCAGCAGGTAACACTGCTGGCCGAGAGACTAAGTGGCTCAGGAGAACAGAAAACGTGGGGAAGTCCAGGAGCTGACCCAAGTGTCCGATTTCTGAAACTGGGTGCTTCAGGAGCAAAGCTTAGCCAGGGTGGGAGGAGGGCATCGGGCCAGGCAGGCTTCAGGATGTGTCATGAGCACACTGATGTCTCCTGTCATAGGGGGAGCTGACCTCAGCCTGCAGAAGGTGTGGGCTGTACCCAGAGTAGAGCTGGAAGATCTGTGGAGTGGGGCTGCTTTGGATGCAGGGCCTGGCCTGGCTCCTGTGCTGGATCTCTCTCTGCACTGTTGCCTGCTCCACTGTCTCACCAGGCAGGTGGGGACAGGTGTCTCATGGCCATCTCTGCTGGGGGTACTTAGCTGAGTCTTTAGGAAACAACAGAGGCTGCAGGTTGAGGAGACTTCAGGGCTTCTGCTCAGGGTCCCATCTCCTGAAGCATCACCTGGGCTGAGCTCTGGATCAGGGCTAGGCCAGGGTCCTGTAGGGGGCTTTCCTGGGGCAGCATCTGTGCAAAGAGTGAGGAGAGGTGGCAGGCGAAGAAGGTCTAGGCATGGGGACACATCCTAGGCTTTGTCTCTGGAGCCCACAGCTGAGCGTGGTTTCCTCAGGCCTTCTCATACTCTCAAAAGTCCCCCATGAAATGCTCTGTCATCGCTGGACTGGAGAACTCAGCCGAGGCTTCAGGCGTGGGCTTTGGGGGGCTGGTTCGCGTGGAATTCTTCTTCTTCTCTGGAAGTCTCATAGGGAGTCATTGTCTCTGCTTATTTGAACAATTTCAAAGGAATGCCGGTATCCCATACCCACGGTTGTCTGTGAAGCTCTGGGGGTGGGAAGGTGTCTCCGTGTTGCCAGGGCCCTGGCCATTGTTGTGTCTCAGTCCCCCTTCTGCTGCTCTGTCAGGACCAGACAGGTGTGTACATGTGGCCCTTCCTGGACAAGGTTCTATATAAGCATAACAATATTTGATGACACTGACTCAGCAGTGACTACGGCCTGTGCCTTGCCTGTTTGTGGGCCTTGCCCACATGAACTCATTTAACCCAGAAGCACGTCTGAGGGGAAGATAGAGTGAGAAAAATAGAAAAGTTTTGAGTCTGGGACATTTGGCCTGCCAGCACTCCTAGCAGCTCAGCATGCAATGTACACTCGTGCACACACACTCACACAGCATATGCATTTACACACAGGCACACACACCAACTCACAGGCATATGCACCTACACACATGCACACACACAGGCATATGCATTTACTCACATGCACACACACACAGGCATATGCATTTTACACACACGCACACACTCACAGCATATGCATTTGATCACATGCACACACAGCACTGTTTTATTGTACAGGAGAAAGGGATCACATCTTCAGCCTGCAGTCCTGTTCTCTTCGCCTGCAGTGCAGACACCTGAACCGTTCTGAGAGACGTCACCAGAATGTGTCCCAGCAGAACTACTTTATGATGGACATGACTCTCCTGCTTGCTTTCCTACAGCTGGCCTTGCTTGTGATGTCCTGGTGCTGGGTGAGATGCTCAGTTTTGCAGAAAGAGTCAGGACAATCTGCTCAAGACTGACAATCAGTTTTTGACCTGTGGCCATTACAGTGGGCAGCATGGAGGCCTGACTGGGCAGGCACAGATGGATGGGCATTAGGGCTGGGCTGGTGCCACTGAGAGGACCCTGGGGACAGAGAGCAGGGGAATCGCCTACTGTTTCCTCCAGGTCAGTCCATTGAACACAAGGGGAAGTCAAATGGGCTCATAGAATACTAAGGCCACAGCTGCACTGACCTGGGCTCAGGATAACCAGGGACTATGGTTGGAGGAGAGAAGCAGATAAGCATAAATTGAATTTAATAATCATTAGCCATGGAACATCTTTGCCGGTGTTTGGTAAAAATGAAACTGATACCAAAAATAGAACAAAAAATAACACAAGTTAGAGATTGTTTTAGAACAGAGATGTCCTATTATGAAAGATATATTGGAAACAGAAATGGTATAGTCAAAAGAAAATTCATCACATATGCATATTAAACTACTATTTCCAATGTTATAAGTGACATCCACATTTTGCTGTGCAAATAAAGGAGTCTCTAATGGTTATACAAAAGTGCATTATGTTTTCTATTTGATATTGAGATTCCCCTCTGGGATGAGGTGAGGTCTTGAGAGTGTAGGAAAGAGAATATTCCATAGGATGTTTCCTTATTCTAAAAATAATTTCATAGGAAAAGGTAGTTTGCAGCATAAACATTTTCCACCAAAAAGGTCCTGTTCTTCTTCTGGCAACTTGGCTTGGGATCTTTATGCTTTTAACATCCTCAAGCTCTCTTCCTTATCCCATTATTAAATTCTGTTCTAGAATTTTCATAGATATAAAATATTCAATACATTCAAAACTTAAACTATTTATTTGTTTATTTCTTATTCTCAGAACTTGCATGTTCTCTTCTGTTTTTTAGCTCAGTCAAATGCTGATATGGGACCCTTCTCTCTGAGCCTGCCCTGGATATTCCAGCTTTGGTACAAGCTTTCTTGCCCACCTGCCCCTCCCTCACCCTCAGACTTTTGCCTTGGGAGGAGTCTATTCCTGATATATTTAAGCTCTCCCCAAAACTCAGAGCAAAGCAATGCAGATGAAATTTATGTGGCTGTGACACAGGGCTGCTCTTAGTCAAACCCATAAGCCCATCAAATAGAGGATGTAGGCATGTTCTTATCAGTGGGAACTTCAGCCTAATATAGGAGGTGAAATACAGTGACCCTCACAGAGAGATCCCCACCTAGATTACATGCTAGTGGAATTTTTCAACCCTCGAACAAATCTATAAACCAGTGACTGTTCAGCCACATCCTGTGACCATCGCTGGCCTGACATGATTTTGTATGGTCAGAGAATGATGACTTTTATCATTTTTAAATGATTATGTTGTAAATGATGCTATAAGTACCTAAGAATCAACCTTAGGATTGAAAGTTGATTCTTGGACCACAAAGACTAAAATAATTCTTTTAAATTTATTTTTATGCTTTTTAATTTAGTAAATTTGAGGATTCACTGTGTGGCCCAGACTAATCTCAAACTCCTGAGATCAAGCAATTCACCCGTCTAACTCTTCCAAAGTACTTGGGATTACAGGCGTGAGCCACCGTGCCTGGCCTCAAAAGACTAAAATTCTTACTTATCTGGATATTCAAGAAAAGTTTATGAAATCTAAAAAGGAAAAACTACTGAACTATTTCTGAAAAGGCCCAAACGTAAGCAGAAGAGGAGACTCAAAAAATAAAACTGTAACAAGGTAGCATTTTTGGAGTCTGGTAGGTTGGCAAAAATTTACACTTTCAACAATGTACTCTGAACAAGTACTTCCGTGGTGTTGTTGAAGATTGGAAGAACCCCTCTGGAGGGGAATCTGACAACAGAGGGTGAAAATTACAAGCACACATCTTTCTGATGCAGCCATTTCACTTTTAGAAATGAATCCTATGCTCATATTCACACAGGAACTCAAAGGCCACATAGGATGTTACGCTGCACTGTATTTCTAAGATCAAATTTGTGGCGATAACCATTAGAATGTAGTTGCCTAAAATTCTACACACAGTGTGGGAGATGGTGATGCATTTAGGGTGGAGACATTCCTGAAAAAAGCAGTGACTGCATCAATCAGGCAACTCCTTGTCACTGTCCTGCATTTTGAAGAGCTAGGAAGAGTTGCACATTCCAGGGACCACAGCACACAAGCATCAGGAAGCTGTCCTGTCCTGGATGAAACCACAGAGGGCAGGTTTCCTTTTGGACTTCATGGTGGAAAGGGATGGAGCTGAGAGGGGAATTGTCAAGGCCGCACTGCAGAAGCCCCTTGCACAGAGTGAGGAAGCGTCTTTCAGGCAAGAAGAAGCCTGAGAGCCCAGGGCAGATTTTGGTCTCAGTTTCCCAAGAACTTGGACCACAGCAGAAGTACTACTGCTTGCATATGAGCTGCAATAATAATCAGCCCTCATCCTCAGCCTGGAGCCCAGAGATGGTCAGGGAGGCCGTGTTGCCAGACTTGGAGCCAGGGCGATCAGGGGCCCTGAGGTCGATTACTGACCTCATAAATCATGAGTTTGGGGGCTTTGCCTGGGTGCTGTTGGTACCAGGAGACACAGTTATAACCACCAATGCCACTGCTGGTTCAGTGCAGGGAGATGGTGACACGACTGTCAGGAGACCCAGACACTGGTGAGCCGGAGTTAGGGCCTGGGCCAGGATCCTGGAAGAGGGAGAAACACACTCCAGTGAGTCAGTGCTGGGCCAGGTGAGCCTGAGGAGCAGGAGACCAGAATCAGCCCAGAGTCCTGAAGCCCCTTCCCTGGAGGCATCACCACTG